TGAATTTGGATTTCACATAAAATCTGAAATTTTTAATCCAGGAAGCAAAACTTTTTCAAACTTGTTTTAAAAATTATTTTTTTTGGAATGATTATTACCTGGATGACTGAGAATCTTCACCAGCATATTGCATTTGTTCTTTAATGCTGATTACTGACAAAGTTTGGCGCATGTTTAGAAGGGAAACGCAGCTTGTGTTTTAAGGCTGGACTTTGACTAGGCCACTTTTTACCTCTGAAAGTTTTGATCTGAACCGTTTTAAAGTTTCCGCCTATTTAGGTGAGCGGCTCCTTCAGCTTCCTGATCTTCTATAAACTTAAAGATGGAGGCGTCCTCTCTTCACTAATAGTGGACGTTTAAAAGTCATTTTCCATAGTGCTTTATGTCAACATATCAGAGTAAATTTGGATTATTTCATTCTTTTTTTTAGATTTGCGGGATTGTTTTTTTTTTTTTTTATCCAGAAATATTAATTTAATCACAATCGCCTTAAATCTTAAAACAAATGATTTATTTCTCAGTCAGCTAATAAGAAACATGACTGTTTGCTCTTCCAGGTCCTTATGGTGGAGGTGGTGTTAGATGCCCCTTGCCATGCCTCCTGCCATGACAGACCTCCTGGACATATGGGCGGCCCACTCGCCCCTGGCCGGACACGCTCCGGACCAGATCACCGTGGACTTTCTGCTGCCCACCGGCATCTACATCCAGATGGATGTTCCCCGCGAGGCCACCATCCAACACATCAAACTGGTGAGTGGAGCTGGGAGGTTCTGACGCCGTTTTTCTGTTAAAGCTAAAACTATCAACTTGGTTAAGCTCTGCTGTCGCGTCCAAAACCCGTCTGCGTCACAGAAGTCCCACAACGCTGAGAACAGACGGTTAGCCGTCAGTCAGACATGATCCAACACCTGTTTGCTTCCCTGTGATCATCTCTGTGGTTCGATTGCTGTTTCTCCTGTCAGCATTTTAACCCTGAGCCTGAGCTTTAAGGAGCCTTAAGGCCACTTATGTCTCATAGGAATGTTTTCCCACCTCAGACAGGACTAAGTGACATTAATACATCTGATCTAATGGATCAGCGTGAGATTCTGCTTTACTTCGCTTTAAAATCAGAAGTTGTGCTTTTTACACCAACATGTCTGACATAATTCGTGCCTCTCTGAGTGATCGACCTGCAGCTGCATTCATAAAGAGAGTTTAGTGACGGTGTTCTGTCAGATCAGCATACCCAGTATCAATACCCGTTTATACCTTTAGTTTTGGACAAAAAAAACGTTTAATT